ATACCGAATGAGCTCCTACAAAGGCTCCCAGCGTGCCTGAAACAGGCCATACACAACCTCATGCTCGTCATGTGGGTGAAATCAGAAACCCCCCTGGCCTGGACGACCTCCGACACTGTCCTACTACACAAAAAAGGAGATCCCCTCAACATCAAGAACAAGCGGCCCATCGCCCTCGCAAATACTCTTTACAAGCTATGGACAAGCATGATCACTGTTAACACAGTCATGTTCAGCCCCATAGCACGAATCTTCTCAGACGCACAAGAAGGTTTCCTGCAAGGTTGCAATACAGAACGGCAAGTTCAGAACCTACTGCATGTAATTGAAGATGCAGCCCTAACAGGACAAAACCTCTTCCTGCTATACACGGACTACAGCTCCGCCTTCAACACAATAGACCAGGACAAGCTCCTAATGATTATGTACGACCTGGGCTACCCCACCGACCTAATTGACATGGTAAGGGGTCTCTACAGCACCGCCAGAACGCGCATCAAAACGGAGCACGGGCATACAAAAGACACCCTGATAGAGCGGGGGACTGTGCAGGGTGACACGCTGTCGCCCATCCTCTTTATCATCTTCCTAGAGCCCCTCCTGAGGTGGTTACACTATGGCGGGAGGGGATACAGATACGGATGCCTAGTTTAGAAAGGCACAGCTAACTTTTTAGCGGTGAAGTATTTTCATTTGAAACTTTGCCAACACTACGGCTCTAGCATTTTCAGGCGCTAGCATAGGTTATTTTCTCAATTGGGCGCACCGAACGTCCTGAACGTTAACTCCACCCCATGTCCCGAGGGTCACGGCTCCACTTTACCCCCAACATTGCTCATTAGCGGGCAAAAGCATCGCAGAAAATTACGGGCAGTTAGTCAGAAGCTATAGAGTCAACGTTTATACCCCATAGTTAGGCCAGGCACACTACCATGCTCGATGTTACATACCCATGTGTATTAACCTTTTCGAGCTGTTAAGCTTCGACTGGCAAATATAACAGACGAGCAAAGCGTTTGCGCCTTCAAGATGGTATGTGAAGCCTGACTGTTAAATACCGCCCCGCAAATCTCCTTTCCGAATGCTGCAAATGGTCGGCATACTCCTTTGCGCTGCACTTCTGGCTGCCCCATTTAGCCATTTGTCCTTATGATGGCTCTTAAGAGAGTGTTTGACGTGGTCAAAAGTGCCTTGTTAACCGCTTGATTCGCTGTTTGACTAGGACAAGCCTCGATGGGCTGCTCCTCGCCGGTATGGGGAACGTTCTGAGTGGAGACAGTGCAGCTTAATCGCATTTTTTTGCAGAAATCGCTTCTAACGGGAACGCTTTCTAAGCTTTCTAAGGAAGGGGACTTTAGAAGTCTAAAGTGCCGTACGGTTTCGGGACATTAGAATTAGAAAACATGCCTTCTAATTCTAAGTTTAGATTCTAATGCTTTCTAATTAGAATTAGAATTCTAAATCTAAAGTGCCGGCCAACCCTACCTATATATAGCATGATGGCTAGCCACGTGGCGGTGAAGCAGCAGTTGCCTACCATCTGAAAGCTTGTTTGTGGAATCTGCACTGAACTCTCCACCGCCGAGACCCATGTTGCTCCATTCCTCCATTCCTGGCGTTCTCAATGGGCTGTTCCAACCGCAAGCGTGTGCAATTCAGAAGTGTGCACGCAAGAACCGCTGATGCTCAGTTATGGCAGCAAGTCGGACGCCCAAAGCAAAATGCCACTATTGTACTTTTGTAGAGAGCCATTTTCATAGGCACAATTCCATCGGTTTATATCTCGTAGCAAAGGCCCCGTGTTGGTCTGAAAGTTATTAGCCCACTCGACACATTGTTACCTCGCCTGAAAGTGTATTTTTAGGACAAGGATTTATCCCTTGTGACTTAACTTGGGTTCGGCCTAAAGCGTGTGTACCAGCTTCGTACGGCATTGCACCACCAGGCGCAGGACCATCCAAGTGCACAGAAATGGCAGAGCTTAGAGTAATAGAAACCCATTACTTCTTGCCATGACGCCTCCTCTGCACTTTATTTAGGCATGTTCTGTTTCCCGTCATTACTTCAGTCACCACCCAAAGCGGAAGCATAAAATGTTTGTTCGAGTGATTCATATGCAGCGCGTCATTCACCTACGGCTCATTCCAAAGACAGTGCGCGAATAAGAGTGGGTATGAGACATGTCTATGCACACTGAAGGTTCAACAGTGCAAGGAATACACGCCCAGGTGTCTGTATGTGGCAGCCGTCAGACTACTGCTGGCCAAGTGGCCTGAGTAGACGGGTAAGCGGACAAGCCAAGCAAACACATCAGCGGATATCAAAGATACTGCCAAATTACAAGGAAAAAGCGCAAAACGCCGTCACGGGGAATCGAACCCCGGCCTCCCGCGGGCAGTTTTTGGTTGACAGGCGGGGATACTAACCACTATACGATGACGACCCCATTGCCCTGGCATTGCCGGGCTGTCTGCTCTTGTCTACACTAGAAAAAGTTTCGCTACCGGGACTCGAACCCGGGTCTCGAGAGTGAGAATCTCGTATCCTAACCGCCTAGACTATAGCGAACCACCTTTGGTGTTGATGTCTATGGTGACAAATGGACGTTTATGAGGAGGTTGCATCCTCCGAAACCAAGTCCGGCCCCCCAAAAGTCGCCCAAAAACGCAAGATCCCATCCTCATGCGCATCGCGGATGCAATGGCAGTGAAGTGAAAACAACATACGGGACTCCCTACCCTGAGAAAACACGTTTGGGGGGTGCCTGATGGTGTAGGGGCGGTGGGGGGAGGATGTGCTGCACAGATTGCCTATGGTGGTCCTTGCTCAGCCAGCAAATGTATGTTGCGCTGTGGGCGAGACATTGATGCTATACAATAGGATGAAAGTATGCCTACCTTCCATGCATGTTATGTATGCCCCTTCTTCTCTAGCTGTGTCTGGGATGCAAGGGGTGTGTGTGTATGTGCGTGGCTGGCTGCACATAATTCACCATGGTAGGCACAGAAGTCGGTGCGGTTTTTGTGATGTCTTCCAGGGTACCCTTCACTCCGGGATCCTTATCAATCGTGCGTTAATTAGCAGACGATATGTAAATGTGATTGGGGTCTGACCCTGTAATAATCTTGTTGGGTAGGGTTGTCAAGGGGTCGCTGTGGTAGGTGCAGAGTTCAGTGTGCAAGCAGTGTATAATCGACAGCAGCCCTTTCATTTAATAGCTCGCAAGTGTTGGCTCACCGCTCCCACACAGCCAGCCACCTGCTGGCCAAGCTTAAGTGCATGTGCCTTTATTCAGTTAAACATTACGCAAGTATCTGCACCCACTCCTAAAATGGCATTCTGCGTGCGCGGCGCAAGCCAACGGCCGTCCCCCCAGCGATGCCAAGGTGGCGGGTGGACTTAACGGCGAGGATACGCAGGCCTCGCCGGTACATGGAACTGCTATACCGAGGGCTAGCTGTTGTGGGGAACAAACGGTTCTAAGGGCAATAGACGCGAGCATTCCAGACAGTGGTCATTTTGACCACTCCCTGATTAACCCCTCGAGAAGACAGACACTCGAATTCGCAGGTGCTTCTCTGGACAACATCATTTTGGTTTTCAAGAACAGGCGACATTAGCTGACTGTGTGCAGAGGCAGAAGTTCAATGCCAAGCATTTCCATGAGGAACCGCTGTGTGCCAACAACACGCTCACATGGAAAGAAGCTTACTTTTGCACTAAACATGATACTCGGGAACAGCAATGCGCTACGTTTTGTTCGGAGGTGCCGACTCAGGGCTGTTACGCTTCTCAATATTACTCCTCAGGCAATGCCAGGCAGGATGACAACCTCCAGCCCCATGGCAAAATAGACGGCAGCAAGGAAGACACAGAGAGCACCAGCTCAGCGATTAACATTGACGCCATGAACCCCGCAGCAAGTCTGAGCTATGGTGTTATGGCAGCTTTTTCAGCTCAATATGTATTCGACAGTACATTAGCGGCAATGGCAGTTAATCAAAGACAAGGCCTGACTAGCTTCGGCGAATGCCACATGCCAATAGGAATGGTGTGGGCGCGACGTCCTCAGCCAGGGGCGAGCCACAGCGATGCTGTTGTAAGCAGCTGTGTTGAAGCCGACGAGGGACTAGGCATTAGAATGCTGCGTGGCCAAGTACCGGTATTGCCGAAGGACAACTACCGCAAGTGTACAGCAGGAATAGGCGTAACAGTACGTTGGCCTGAAGTGTACCCTTCTGACAAAATAGCTTATGATCTTACACGGTTGAGAGGAGGTGACACGATGCCAGACGGACAAGGGCCTGCCCGGGTGAACTGCCCTACCACAGCCCTACAGCCTCCTGCTCCTGTCCAATGGCCAGTACCTCAAAGCAACCGCACATATTTTGAAAGGCAGGAATGCTCCTACTGCCAAATCCATTCGCTTAACAACCTGTTAGGAAACCGATATGTAGACCCAGCACATGTCGTACAGTACTGGAAAACAATGAAACAAGACTTGCAAAACGGAGACCCAGGGGTCCTAAGACTTTGGTGCTCCCTGTTCGACGAAGGTGCATCGGCTTGGTTGACGATGCACATGCACTAACATTCGCGTGCGGTAAGCAGTGTCTTCTACTTTGTATCGCGGATTACGATGCCTCTTGCGACATGCGAGGTTGCGCGATTAATCAGACGCTTCTCATCATTGCTCTTACATAGGACCACTGATAGATTTTGATGGTATCACTACATCCTGCTGGTCGAATGGAAGGCGCGGTGTATTAAGTAAGGGAATTATAACAAATTTATGTGTTGCGTGAAATGAGTATGTTGGCGGACAAGACTATGTTCTATACAAGTGCACTAGGAACGGGCACTGCTCGCATGCGTGTTTGTGGTGCGCGAAAGGGCGTACAACGACATTGTCTGTATGTCCTGGCTGTGTGGGTTGATGCGTGCTTAAGGGCGTGCATATTGCGGGCGAGGCTTCACCGGGCAAGGGGGTATGAAATACTGGGGAGGATACATGCTGTCAGTTGCGGGGTCCTCCGGGCGAGTCAATGGCAACATTCCCGCATAGCACGTTCCTTTGCCCTTTGTAGCCCCCACACGCATGCATTCAGGCCCGCTATACTCGCCCCTTCAGACCCTACAACCAACGCACGAGCATAACGATTGGCGACAACTTGGGGTGAAACACCCTTGCTTAATCCACCTACTGTCCCACTCCTGAATTAAGAGGGGAGGGGGTAGTCCCGTCAGCATGCGATCCTCCGAAGGGCCCCCCAGCACAAGGGCCCCTTTGCAGTCTGGAGCTCAGCGCCAACATCACTCATGACTGGTGCTTAGCATGGTCTTACGATTAAGGTCGTCTTTGCAGCTCCATTCATGCGTAATGTACGTTAGCACAGGTAACACGCTTTATTGGGTCAGCATGCGTATATGTGGATTTGGCATCCTTAGAGAAATACGCAACTGATAAACATGCATGACGACAATTGAAAACCCGGGGAGGCGTACAACTCAATTCCTGGGTACCCAACTGTCCATTCAAGATAGCAACTAACAAGCCACAAAACCGTGAGCTTTGCATCGTGCCTTTGGTACGTGGGTCGGTTCCCTTTACTATTACCCAGCGCCCCAATCAGCTGTACTACACAAACTGCGCAGCAAGGACAGCACCATACATGACGAGGTGCGTGGTCTCGTTCTCCTTCTTGCCGTCTGTGAAGTACCAGTGAACACGGAGTGAAGGGTAGTTGTCCATACCGCAGTCACCCGCGTGCACCATGTGCCCACTTAGGAAAATGATGTCACCGGCTTCTAGCTCCACCCTCACCGCCTTGAACTTGCGCATTTTGACCCATGCCTCCAGATCCGCCGGTGTAATACCACCTTCGTCCACAAGCTTCTCCAGCTGCCAATAGCGTTCCAACACACGGTTGCTCTCTGGGTACAACAGGAGCCCCATCTTCTGCACCGCAGCTATTGCTACACCGCCCTTCTGCTCCATCTTCAAGTCGGTGTGATTGCCTTGGCGGCGCACAGGCTCCTGCTGTTCCGATTGGGTGTTCAGGAGGAGGTACGGGGGATGGAGCTCGAGGTCGTCGTCGCCCATAGCGGCTACAGCCTCGTTAATCTTGGGCTCCACCACACCTGGTTCAACGCAAGGCGAATTAAGAGGAATGGTGTTAGCACTACACACAGCGAGATTCATGTAGCATGCATTTTTCATTCGCAAGCCACTTCTTGCTTCAGGGGCTGGCTGGAGAGCAAGGACAGGCGAGATGACAAGACAGACATTCGACGCCTTAATTATTGTCACGAGTGTTCTTGCTTCAGGGGCTGGCTGGAGAGCAAGGACAGGCGAGATGACAAGACAGACATTCGACGCCTTAATTATTGTCACGAGTTACGCCCATGCATGCTATCGCATGCATTTTCTTACCCCGGAAGTCAGCCAGGACGTCCGCATGATCTGGGTCTTCGGGGTTAATGAGGCACTGCCGCCGCTGCTTAGAGCCGAATGTGGACCTCAGGTAGCCAGTTGGCTTTCCGTTACGGCGCTCCTGCACAAACCTCCCGTTCCTCTTTGGCGGAATGCTCTCGAAGATGGGTAAAGATGCCCCCCCGTGTTGCAACGCCCGCTGGACTGCCGCAGGAGTGACTGTATCCCTGATTCCTGGGTCGTGAAGGATGGCAACGCCCGACTCGTTAATAGCTTCCGGGATGTCGGAGGGGGAGTCGACAGTGAAGACCGCTTTGCTGATGGTTGGGATCTGTGTGATGTTAACATCGAAGCAGGGTTGGGGCAAGGGGGGGGGGGGGGGGGGGGGGGGGAGGAGCCGGAGGAATCTACATGAATGTATGGATTTTGTTCATGGCGAGCGCCATAATACTAAACAGCAAATAACGGCTAAAAACAGGTTAATGCAATAAGTTTAGCGGTCGTAAGGCACGCAATTATCTGTCAATTAGCTGCACGATCGGCCTTTTGCCAGTCGTACCTCTTCCTCGTCATCGAGGGCCTCTCCGGCGTCAACCACGGAGCCATATGCGGATACACCACGGCGCCTAGCCTTCTTGGGCTGCTGGCGGCCACCATTGTAGCGCAATCCCCCGCCTTGGAGCGTGTGCTCGGTGCCCTGTGGGCACGAGATCGTAGGCGTGAGAGATTTGCCTCGTAAACGCGCCCGCCTTTTTAGAAAGCCTGCCTTACCGGAGAAAGCGCTTGGACAGGGCGCTTGCAGCCTCCAAGCTGCTCGGCGGCAAGAGGGGAGGCATGCGTGCATGGAATTCGGGGAGGAGGAGGAGGAGCGGAGGCAGGGGCGTGACGGCAGTGCTTGTAAATGGCAAAGTAAGCGCATGTGGGACAGGGCGGGGCACACACCAATGGTTAGGACCCTTCTTCGGCCGCGACCAGCAATAAACAAGATGCTGCACACCCACACTTCAACGTGCTACTGTCGAACTTCCGCGTGATATGGTCGAACTTCCGCGTGATATGCGCAAGGGCTGCGACATCAGAATGCTCACCTCAGGACTGGGTTTCCTGATGGGGGACCTGTGATCGGCGCCGCTGCCGTCCGGCTCGGCAGCAGGAAGTGAGGCCTGCATGCATGGAAGCGGAGTGCGAGAACGGGCGGGGGAGAGGAGCGGAGGCCGGGGCGGGTCGGCAGCATTTGTAAATGGCAAAGTGAGCACGTTTGGGGACGGGAAGGGGCGCACACGGATGGTCAGGACAGTCCTTCGGTCGGGGCAAGCAATACTCCAGATGCTGCACCGCAGAAGGAATGAGAAGGTTGCGACACCAGCATGCTCACCTCAGAGCTGTGTATCCTGCTGGGGGACCTGTGGTCGGCGCCGCTCCGTTCAGTTCCGCCGCCGCCCGGCTCGGCAGCGCGCAGCGAGACCTGCATGCATGGGAGCGGAGTGCGGGTTTGGGCGGGGGAGAGGGGCGGATGCCGTGGCGGAGGCCGGATCGGGGCGACAGCGTTTGTAGATGGCAAAGTAAGCGCGTTTGGGGACGGGGAGGGGTGCGGCGTTTTGGGGCGGGGAGGGGTGCACACGGATGGAAAGGACCGTCCTTCAGCCGCGGTCAGCGATAGACAAGATGTTGCACCGTAGAAGTTTACAATGGCTCCGACACCAGCATGCTCACCTCAGAGCTAGGTATCCTGCTGGGGGACCGGTGGTCGGCGCCGCTCCGCTCGGTTCCACTGCCGCCCGGCTCGGCAGCGCGAAGGGAAGCCTGCATGCATGGAAGCGGAGCGCGGTATTGGGCGGGGAGGGGCGGGGCCCGAGGCGGGGCGGCAGCGTTTTTAGTTGGCAAAGTAAGTGCGTTTTGGGGCGGGGAGGGACGCTCACTAATGGTAAGGACTTTCCTTCGGCCGGGGCCAGCAATTCTCAAATTATGCACCACGGAAGGGCGCAGTGGCTGCGACACCGGCATGCTCACCTCAGAGCTGGGTATCCTGCTGGGGGACCTGTGGTCGGCGCCGCACCGTTTGGTTCCGCTGCCGCCCGGCTCGGCAGCGCGAAGAGAGGCCTGCATGCATGGAAGCGGAGCGCGGGTTTGGGCGGGGGAGAGGGGCGGAGGCCGTGGCGGGGCGGCTGCGTTTGTAAATGGTAAAGTAAGCGCGTTTGGAGATGGGGAGGGGTGCACACTGATGGTTAGAACCCCCCTTCGGCCGCGGCCAGCAATCCTCAAGACGCCGCACCGAAGAAGGTTGCAATGGCTGCGACACCAGCATGCTCACCTCAGAGCTGGGGCTCCTGCTGGGGAACCTGTAATCGGCGCCGCGCCGTTCAGTTCCACTGCCGCCCGGCTCGGCATCGTGAAGGGAGGCCTGCATGCATGGAAGCTGAGTGCGGGATTGGGCGGGGGAGAGGGGCGGATGCCGTGGCGGAAGCCGAGGCGGGGCAGCAGCGTTTGTGAATGGCAAAGTAAGTGCGGTTTGGGGCGGGGAGGGGTTCACACTGATGGGTCGGACCTCATTCGGCCGCGGACAGCAATTTTCAAATTCTGCACCGCAGAAGGGTGCGAGGGCTGCGTCACCAGCATGCTCACCTCAGAGCTGGGCCTCCTGTTGGGGGACCGGTGGTCGGCGCCGCTCCGTTCAGTTCCACTGCCGCCCGGCTCGGAACCGCGAAGGGAGGCCTGCGCGCATGGAATCGCAAAACAGGATTGGGGGGGGGGGGGGGGGGGGGGGGGGGGGGGGGGGGGGGGGGGGGGGGGGGGGGGGGGGGGGGGGGGGGGGGGGGGGGGGGGGGGGGGGGGGGGGGGGGGGGGGGGGGGGGGGGGGGGGGGGGGGGGGGGGGGGGGGGGGGGGGGGGGACGGAGGCCGAGGCGGGGCAGCAGCGTTTTTAGATGGCAAAGTAAGCACGTTTGGGGACGGGGAGGGGCGCACACGGATGAACAGGACTGTCCTTTGGTCGGGGCCAGCAATAGGCAAGATGCTGTACCGAAGAAGGCTGCAGTGGCTGCGACACCGGCATGCTCACCTCAGAGCTGGGGGCTCCTGTTGGGGGACCTGTGGTCGGCGCCGCTCCGTTCAGTTTCCACTGCCGCCCGGCTCGGCACCGCGAAGGGAGGCCTGCATGCATGGAAGCGGAGTGCGGGATTGGGCGGGGGAGAGGGGGCGGATGCCGTGGCGGAGGCCGACGCGGGGCGACAGCGTTTGCAAATGGCAAAGTAAGCGCGTCTTGGGGCGGGGAGGGGTGCACACGGATGGTTAGGACTGTCCTTTGGTCGGGGCCAGCAATACTCAAGATGCTGCACCGCAGGAGGTTGCAATCGCTGCGACACCAGCATGCTCACCTCAGGGCTGGGGCTCCTGTTGGGGGACCTGTGGTCGGCGCCGCATCGTTCAGTTCCACTGCCGCCCGGCTCGGCACCGCGGAGAGAGACCTGCATGCATGGAAATGGTGTGCGGGATTGGGCGGGGGAGAGAGGCGGAGGCCGTGGCGGGGCGGCAGTGTTTCTAAAAGGCAAAGTAAGCGCGTTTTGGGACGGGGAGGGACGCCCACTGATGGTTAGGACCCTCCTTCGGCCGCGGGCAGCAATTCACAAATTCTGCACCGCAGAAGGGTGAAAGGGTTGCGACATCAGCATGCCCACCTCAGAGCTGGGTCTCCTGCTGGGGAGTCGGTGGTCGGCGCCGCTCCGTTCAGTCCCGCCGTCGCCCGGCTCGGCAGCGCGAAGGGAGGCCTGCGTGCATGGAAGCGCAGAGCAGGATTAGGGGGGGGGGGGGGAGGGGCGGAGGCCGAGGCGGGGCGGCAGCGGTTTTGGTTAGCAAAGTAAGCACCTTGGGGACGGGGAGGGACGCACACGGATGGTTAGGTCTGTACTTTGGTCGGGGCCAGCAATACTCAAGATGCTGCACCGCAGAAGGATGGAAAGGTTGCGACACCAGCATGCTCACCTCAGAGATGAGTATCCAGCCGGGGGACCCGTGGTCGGCGCCGCTCCGTTCGGTTCCGCTGCCGCCCGGTTCGGCAGCGTGAAGGGAGGCCTGCATGCATGGAAGCGGGGTGCGGGAATGGGCGGGAGAGAGCGGCGGAGGCAAGGCTGCTACACCAGCGGAAGTGCATTCACCTCCAATGAGACCAGGGAGTCCTCATTGGGCTCCATATCCCATAAGCTTATATTCGCATCTTCCTGCAAGGTTTGGAGTGTCAATAGCTACAATGTCGAACAACACTAGAAACGGATTAGCTCTGGCAGAGTACATGCTCTGGCGTCTTAGCTCGAGTACAGGGCGCATACTTCCCTTCAGCATCACCCCAATTGTCAATATAGTACCCGCAGCCGCGTCGACCGTGCCATGATACATGTTTCCAGCACCCCAGTCAGTCTCAAAGGCAGCTGTAAGCGCGGTCTAAGGGGGCGTGAAAAGGGCCGTAACTAGATGCCCATGCCTACAGTGGGTGGAAGGGATAATTTGCAATGCATGCTCACCTGGAGGACTGGGCTCGTGCAGCGACTAAGATCGGCTGTACACTGCTGTGAGCTTGCTGCTGCATGCAGAATGGGCAAGGTATCATGGCCAGAAACCTGCCAAGGCACTGTTTGCGAGGAGGGTGCCGTTGCTGCTTCATGCATGATGCTGGATGCACCTTTCAAATCTTGTGCCCGATGCGCTGATGACACCGTGGGAGTGAAGCGTCTGTTCAGGACACTACTGACAACCTGAGCTGTGTTGTTGCCTGCTGCGAGCACACCCTCCAGCTCCTGAAAGCAAGCATACAGTTTCAGCATACACCCTTGTGCCAAGTGCTTTGGCTGCAACGCTTGCACAGGTATTCTTAGCTCACCTTCTTCTTCTTGAGCCAGGGCTTCTGCAACCAGAAATAGTCGCCTACAGCGCCTATCTCGTGGCCCTTAGGCCTTGTCAGCTCTACAAGGTAGCTAACAAAGAGGAGTTGAGCTGCTGGAGCACGCATCTCCTTCTCCTCCAAGTAGTTATCCACAAACACGTCACCGCCCTTGTGAAGAAACGACCTGAACGAGCTCAGAGAGCTGACTTGGGATCCTAAGAGCCCCAACAAGGAGCATTCCTGTACAGCATGAATGCTCCTTGTCGGCACCATCCGGTCAAAGCCACAACTGACACGCGCATTGCTGCAGTCCAGCACACATCTTGCCTTGTCATCCACTGTCTTAAATTTCATGTTGTATAGGGCGCTCGGGCTGGCATCGTCAGGAACATTTGACTGCCAGCCCTCGAAATGGAGCGTCGCTTCCCTCCTCTGAAGTGAGATGACAGCTACTGTGCGATATAACTCAACACAGACCAAGCTTTTTTCCCTCTTATACTGTATCAGCGTCGCCTGAGCCTTAGAAGCGGCGTTGCGAAAACGAGTAACACACGATTGGAACGATGAAGACTGAATATCCATAACTAATAAAGTTATGTAAAGTACTTCTATAGGTTGCTTGCGTATATTACAGGCCAGCGTAAGAGGGGTTCATTATTTGCCGTTAGGTTCAGAGGCAACTTGCGTGCAACTAAAGATGTAAAAAGTTAGTAGACATCTGTAATGCTTATTTGGTGGATTGCTCGAGGCGGTAGGTTGAGTTTGTACGGCGTAACTCGGGTGACGCAGTACAGGACTCCATGAATGTAAAAACAAAAGGCTAGTGTATACAATAGTAGCAGGTAAACCTCGACTACAGATATTTCCTCCGTTAATGGCTTCACGTGGTATGACCAAATGCCGTGGCGCCTATGTCAGGCATGACCATTGCCTGCCACAAGTGAGCCCGCCACTTTCGTCTCTTCAAGCTTCCTTGCTGGTGTTTATGTGCAAATGACATGTTACTGAAAGTCATGCCAATCAATGTGTTGCTCTTCGTCTTGTGCCTCCTACGTTACTCCAGTTCATGTTTGACTTCGTAAATCCTATGTAAAACGCCTTGGTTTCTATGCAGGTATTCTGGTTGTTGCAAGTACAATCTCATTTCTCCGACCGGTAGTGAGGTCCGATTTGGCGTTCAGTATTCTGAACCTAACTCTGACGTGAACCATTCTCTCCTGTTGGCATACCATTACAGTCGCTGGAGTAAAAGGGCTAAACGCAACTTTCGCTTCCGAGAAGTGAGGATGCACTACCAGAAAAGCGACACTGGACGTCGTCTTTTAGGTAGACATTTTTTGACAGGTTATGCCAACCGCACAACAAGCTACGATATTTCTGCGAGTTTTGTTTCTTTGGTACCGTTAAGCCGTGAAAAAGCGAGGAGTCAATTCCTTTTACTTATACCCTTGCACTACTGCAGCCCACAACCCCAGGCATTCCGTGTATCGCGGTGTTGTCCAGCCACGGAGGGCGAAGCAACAGTCGAAACTTGCGATTCGTTTTGCTGTGACGCATCAACCGCACTTACGCATTGAGAGCCATGTCGTCAAAACCCACCCACCCCCTTTCCAGCCGCACGTGACGGCCTGGTATGTGCGCCCAACTTGTATATGAGCTTGTCGCCAACTGATCCGCTATGACGTACAAGCCACACACACGCACGCTAAAGCACCATCATCTTTCTTGACAATAATTCGGGCTGCGCAAACACCCGCAACACTTCGGAGGGGGATGGTGTAGCGTACCCGATTGGGATAAGGGTACGGTGGGTACGATGCTACCATTCGTGTGGTAGCATCGTGCGTGAGGCACGAGTGGTCGTCCAGCCGCACGTTGCAGCCAACTCGTGTATTCTGTTCATACACGTGCGGCTGGAGGGGGGGGGGCTTCGCCCCCCCCCCTAACCCCCCCCCCCATTGTACGGTACATCTTCTCTGTTGCCGATAAGCCGGGCTGCGCACGTAAGTTGGGCGCTAGAAGAGGGGGGGTTTGTGTATGAGCTTGTTGCCAAGAATTTCAATATGACGTACCAGCCGCACGCACGCACGCTAAAGCACCATCGTCTCTCTTGTCACTAAGCAGGGCTGCACACGATGCATCATCGTCTCAGCCAGGCTGCGCTCGTCAGTTGGACCGTAGAAGGGGGGGGGGGGGGGGGGGTTAGGGGGGGGGGGGGGGGCGAAGCCCCCCCCCCTCCAGCCGCACGTCGCAGCCTGGTGCGTGCGCCCAAGTCCTGTATGAGTTTGTCGCCAACTAATTCACTATGACGTACAAGCCGCACGCACGCACGCTAAAGCACCATCGTCTCTCTTGTCAATAAGCAGGGCAGCACACGTTGCACCATCGTCTCAGCCGGGCTGCGCACGTCAGTTGGACCGTAGAATGGGGGGGGGGGGGTAGGGGGGGGGCGAAGCCCCCCCCCTCCAGCCGCACGTCGCAGCCTGGTGCGTGCGCCCAAGTCCTGTATGAGTTTGTCGCCAACTAATTCACTTTGACGTACAAGCCGCACGCACGCACGCTAAAGCACCATCGTCTCTCTTGTCAATAAGCAGGGCTGCACACGTTGCACCATCGTCTCAGCCGGGCTGCGCACGTCAGTTGGACCGTAGAATGGGGGGGGGGTTAGGGGGGGGGCGAAGCCCCCCCCCCAGCCGCACGTCGCAGCCTGGTGCGTGCGCCCAAGTCCTGTATGAGTTTGTCGCCAACTAATTCACTATGACGTACAAGCCGCACGCACGCACGCTAAAGCACCATCGTCTCTCTTGTCAATAAGCAGGGCTGCACACGTTGCACCATCGTCTCAGCCGGGCTGCGCACGTCAGTTGGACCGTAGAATGGGGGGGGCTAGGGGGGGGGCGAAGCCCCCCCCCTCCAGCCGCACGTCGCAGCCTGGTGCGTGCGCCCAAGTCCTGTATGAGTTTGTCGCCAACTAATTCACTATGACGTACAAGCCGCACGCACGCACGCTAAAGCACCATCGTCTCTCTTGTCAATAAGCAGGGCTGCACACGTTGCACCATCGTCTCAGCCGGGCTGCGCACGTCAGTTGGACCGTAGAATGGGGGGGGGCTAGGGGGGGGGCGAAGCCCCCCCCCTCCAGCCGCACGTCGCAGCCTGGTGCGTGCGCCCAAGTCCTGTATGAGTTGTCGCCAACTAATTCACTTTGACGTACAAGCCGCACGCACACACGCTAAAGCACCATCGTCTCTCTTGTCAATAAGCAGGGCTGCACACGTTGCACCATCGTCTCAGCCGGGCTGCGCACGTCAGTTGGACCGTAGAATGGGGGGGGGTTAGGGGGGGGCGAAGCCCCCCCCTCCAGCCGCACGTCGCAGCCTGGCGCGTGCCCCCAAGTCGTGTTTGAGCATACTAACATTCCATTGTTGAGGTAAAAAGTCTTGCTGCATTACGATCCGTGGCGATTTGGCCTAATGCGCGAAAACAAAAAATGTCATTTTGCAGTCGACGGGGTTCGAACCCGGGTCGCCCGCGCCAATCGCAATTTTTTGAAGCGTTATACTCGCTATGCACGTTGCCAAAAAAATGTTACACGAACCCCCCCCCTCCTTATTGAGCCCTTTCCTACGCTAACTTCGCTAGCTCCGGACTCCGTCTACGACGTCGCCCTACGACGTCGCTACATTGCTCCGGCGACAGATAGCGCCGCGTCGTGGTCGCCGCGGCCGGGGGTACCGTAAATCCTGATTGGTGATGAATTCGCGAACGAACAAGCTTTGCGCGCCGGCATGACTTCAGCATTGCGGACCTAATGTTGGCGCGCCGACCAGTGTTGTGAGGTTGTTAATGTTGCAGACAAGCATGGTCGGCGGACCTGATGTCAGCGTGCGGCTGATGTTCGAAAGCAATAATCGGCATGGCGAACGTGTACGGCATGGCGTCGAACAGCTTCAAATTCAAATTTTGAGGCACCTCCGGATGTTTTCCGCTATCGGTGACCTCTTGGGGCTGCCCTACGGCATGTGGGCGTGTCCAAGGCATGAAAAGCCCTTGTTCTGTACCAACATATACAGGTAGAGCCTCGCTACCTACGCACTACATGCACACACACACACACAAACACATCTGCGCATGAGGGCGACGTCTCATGACCCGTGGGTCAGTGATCACCAAAAATGCTATCATTTTCGGCGATCAGCAATCAGCGCTTTTCATGAGATGCGCCGACTTCACGACCGTGCTTCTCGCCGAGACCAGCTTGCAAATCGCGCCGAAAGATTTTTGCCAATGCCAGGCCAATTGTGCCGAAATCTAAAGAGCTTTCACGGCGATCTCCCCTGACAGCATTCGCCGATCAGCAATCGCCGATCAACTACAGTTTTCGGCGATCAGTAATCGACGCTTTTCAGGAGATGCGCCGACTTCACGACGGTGTTCAAAGGAGCCAGAGCGACGAGGGGGTGGTGAGGGGGGTGGGGAGCATGGAGGGGGGTGGTCACGGTCACCAAACAGTTTGACGCTGATTTTGGAAAGTAACCAAGAAACTGCGAATGGCTCATTAATTCAGTTATAGCTTAGTCGACATCACAATGCAGGATATTGCAACAAGAAGATTGGCGGTACGCGGTGCCCGAAGCCATGCCGTACCGTGTCGCTGTACGACAGGGGTGATCAAAGGAGCCAGAGCGACGAGGGGGCGGTGAGGGGAGTGGGGAGCATGGAGGGGGGTGGCCACGGTCACCAAACAGTTTGACGTTGATTTTGGAAAGTAACCAAGAAACTGCGAATGGCTCATTAATTCAGTTATAGCTTAGTCGAGATCACAATGCAAGACATCGCAACAAGAAGATTGGTGGTACGCGGTGCCCGAAGCCATGCTGTACCGTGTCGCTGTACGACAGGGGTGGTCAGAGGAGCTAGAGCAATGAAGAGGTGGTGAAGGGAATAGGGAGTTTGGAGAGGGGTGGTGACGGTCACCAAACAGTTTGACGCGTATTTTGGAAAGTTACCAAGAAACTGCGAATGGCTCATTAACTTAGTTATAGCTTAGTCGACATCACAATGCAAGATATTGCAACAAGAAGATTGGTGGTACGCGGTGCCCGAAGCCATGCCGTACCGTGTCGCTGTACGACAGGGGTGGTCAGAGGAGCCAGAGCGACGAGGGGGTGGTGAGGGGAGTGGGGAGCATGGAGGGGGGTGGTCACGGTCACCAAACAGTTTGACGCTGATTTTGGAAAGTAACCAAGAAACTGCGAATGGCTCATTAACTCTGTTATAGCATAGTCGAGATCACAATGCAAGACATCGCAACAATGAGACGGGCGGCACACGGTGCCCCAACCCATGCCGTACCATGTCGCTGTACTACAGGGGTGGTCAGAGGAGCTAGAGCAATGAAGAGGTGGTGAGGGGAATAGGGAGTTTGGAGAGGGGTGGTCACGGTCACCAAACAGTTTGACGCTGATTTTGGAAAGTAACCAAGAAACTGCGAATGGCTCATTAACTCAGTTATAGCTTAGTCGAGATCACAATGCAAGATATTGCAACAAGAAGATTGGTGGTACGCGGTGCCCGAAGCCATGCTGTACCGTGTGGCTGTACGACAGGGGTGATCAAAGGAGCCAGAGCGACGAGGGGTGGTGAGGGGAGTGGGGAGCATGGAGGGGGGTGGTCACGGTCACCAAACAGTTTGACGCTGATTTTGGAAAGTAAC